TTTTCAATGTCTGGTTTTATAATCATAATATGTAATGAGTTTTTCGGCTTTTATGTGTGTGTCATTGGATGATTTTACAATGATCAAATGTTACCATTAGTTCTTTTTTATTTTATTTGCTGTATTATGATTTAGATGATATTTCTGGAAAGGAAATATTCTATACTAATAGTAAAACAAAATGTGTTCACATATACATGGCATTGTAAATAATGATAAGTGAAATTGCTTTTGACATTGGCTTAAGTCATATTTTCTTTAAAAACTTTTATTTTATTTAAAAAAAACTTGTAACAAATGTTTTATTCTGGGATAAATATTCAGCATCGATTATAGTATTTTAAATAATCAATTTTTCAGGGGTTTTTTTTGTATCCATATATTTTTCTATTATATCTAAAATTTAAAGAAAAAAAATAAGAAAATTTCTGCTTTTTCTTTTCAAAAATACTGATAATTTCTTTTACATAAATTGAATTACAACCATAATAACAACATTTTACAAAAATTGAATAATCTTAGCGAATTACAAAACTAGTTTTCACATGTTAATTTATTCACATGTTGCGACACTGTATAGACCTTATTAATATTTCAATTAAAAATCAATAGAATGCAATGCATAAATTTTAATTCTTTTGTTTTTAAGTCTCACGAATTACAAAACTGCAAAACTAGTACGTTTATTTGCCCAGTCTACATGCGACTTTAATAATAAAAAATTTTAAAATGAAACTAATAAACATATTTGTTATTTATAATTCGTTAAATTTTATTTGTTATTTATAATTTTATATGCATTTTAGTTTTATTGCATTTTATTTGATATTTATAATTAATTAATATGGACATTTTTGTTTTAAATATTAATTTTGTATTTTAAAAAAAAATGTAACGTTTTTATTAAAATGTAATGCAAGTATTATATTTTTTAATAGGTTTTCAAGCTAAATCTTAAATAAATTTGACTTTAAAACTCCTTCTTAATTCCTAATTTCAAATTCTTTTTTTCTGTTTTATGCCCATATGACAAAATTTATGACACCCTTGCCTCAACTTATTTACTTATATAATTCCTTTTGCGTTTAACACAGTGTAGTCGATTCTCCCCCCCCCCCCTCTGGTGTCATTAAATTCTGCTTGAACACGACTTTCATCCGTAAGATTTAAATTGATCTATTTCTTCGAAAATTCGTTTCCATATTAAATAATTTTAATATTATATAAATTTAAATAAAAAATTTAAATAATCAAACTTTTTTCAAATATTTTCGTTTTAGTCATATTGAATCTATTTTTATGGGACTTATTATTTCGACAATAAGGATTTTTTCGTTCATACTAAAATGTGAAGATATTTACATAGTAGGACCAGTATAATTTTTGACGCTATCCAGTACAATGATTTTGCGTTCAGTATCTGCAATTAATATCTAAAAAACAGGTATCTTTTACGTTGGGGACTATTTCAGCCTTTTTAATCATGTGTTAGTATACTATTTTAGATACTTTAGTTGTTAGGAAGTTTTTTTAATTAATTGCGTTAAGAAATTAAATCTTTTAAAAACAAGACTTAAATGAGTACCAAAATGCTCCTCTTAAAAATAAAATACTTATTTTTTAAGAAAAATAACTTATTTTTGTTTGACCTAAGGGAACCAAAAAAGTATATCTGTATTGTCCCTTAGACTCTTCCAAGGGGTTACAGGCTCAGTTAGCACCACGCGAACAAAGCCACTCACAATATGTTCCTAGATTTTGAACTATTAATTAAAATTTTATGCTCTTAGGAAAGCTATAAACTTTAAAATATTCAAATTAAATTCACTTTGGTATTATCTTTAATATAAACTTGGTTTATTTTATCTCCTTCAGACAGTGTGGAAAACAATGTTGATTTGCATAAATATCCAAATTAAATCCCCTAACAAGTTTATAAGAAAGGAAACGTTATCAAAGGAATAACATGTTATGTTGCAATTAAAATATGTAATGGTACAAGATGCTATTTTGATAAGAAATAAAAAGTTAAAATCTTATGACAAATTAGAAAATATGGTAAAACACTCTCTCTTATTTATTACCATAAATAATTAAAAAAACTCAGTTTAAGTATTTAAAATTTGTAACAAACAAAAAATATTAAGTCAGTTTTTCTGAGATTGAATAAACTCCTAAAAAATAAGCAATTACGCGTAATTACGCTTAAAATTATTATTCAAGATTAAAAATTATCAAACTGAAAAATTTTTTCGATTAAAACTGTCTTTAATTTTATTTTGAACAAATTGCATCGCAATCAAAGTGAACAGTCTCATGTTATTGCTTATAACAATACTTTTTTTCCCAGTCAAATAAGGTATTCATCAATTTAGTTGAAATATCTTGCTCTATTTTCTAAATTAAATACATGAACAATTGAAATATTTAATTTTTCATAATTAAATCCAATTTCTTAAATGTATATATATATATATATA